ATGTCTAGCCTGAATCTGCCCTCTGCCAGCTTGTGACCATTATTTCTTGTCACTCCTGGTCGTGCTCGGGGGAACAGGGACTCCCCCAATGCCTGCTCGTCCCCTCTGACTAGTTTGTAAATGGCCACTAGATCCCCCCTCAGCCTTCTCTTGTGGAGGCTGAACAGATTCAGGTCCTGTAGCCTCTCCTTGTGGGACCTGCCCTGCTGCCCCCTGATCGAGTGAGAAGTGAAATAAGATTCTGCATTGGAGAGCCAGATTGGATAGGAAGATCCCTTTCAGGGCCCTCCTCTGGACCCTCTCCATGTTGTCCACATCCCTCTTGAAGTGCAGCACCCAGAATTGGACTCAGTACTCCAACTGCGGCCTGACCAGTGCCTCATAAAGGAGGAGTATTACCTCCTTGGACCTGCTTGAGATGCATCTGTGGATGCATGACAAGGTGCAGTTAGCCTTCCTGACCATGTCCCCACACTGTCAGCCCATGTTCATATTGGCCTCAATAATGACTCCAAGATCCTTTTCTGCCTCTGCACTGATGAGAAGGGAGTTCCCCAGCCTGTAGGTCTGCTGCTGGTTCTTCATCCCCAGGTGCAGTACCCCGCACTTGTCAGTGTTGAAACCAAAATGATTTAACAATACCAAAGAGCTTTTGCAATATTGCAGTAAAAATTCTTGCCAACTGAAATACTGAGTTGGCATCAGGAATCCAGAGCAGTTTTCTTTAATTGGCCTTGCTATCATGTGCCTAAGGCATAGACAGATGTAAAAATTGTACTGCTATCAAAGAATACAAAAATACATTATTATAATGCAACTGTTACATCTACCTGATTCTGTAAGAATACATGTGGGCTAAAACCACTACAATTTTAACCCTGTTTCATTCAGAGTCAAAGGGCAATTTTGTTCCCTTGTGCTGCTGCACAATCATGCACATGTAAAAGAGTGTTATAGATTTTATGTGTTCCAGAGGAGCAGCTTCTCTTCCCCTTTTAAAACAGATATCCATACCCTTAGCAAGCATACACCCTAATCCACTTTGTGACGTGGAAAGGGGGAAAAGTATAGAAACTCCAAGCAATATGGGTAATGGCCCTGTACGGAGTGGAGACGCAGCTGCACACGTTTCTCAACACTGTGTAACCACCTGCAGCCCTTCTTTCCTATTCAAACATTTGTATTTTTAGATCGCTAATCTCTCAGGCCCAGTGTTCTGCCTAATTATGTTTGTACAGTACCCAGGACCTTTCAGGTGCTGTAGTAGGTAACATAAAACAATGGACTATTATTATTTTTATCTTGGTACAAGCAGTACTATATAATCAAATAGAGAATGCATCTTGGCAGAGAGGGCTGCTGGGCAAGAGCTGATTTATGTGGCAGATCCTGCTTTGAAAGCGAAGGGGGAATTTACAGTGCCATATTCATCATAAGTTACTTCTGTTCCACATGAAAGCCCATGGGAGGGATCACATATCCAGCTGCTAAAAGAAAGCTAAGAACTAGCTATGGAGCCAGCTATAATAAGAATATCAGTAAATAAAATGCAAGCAAAGCTGACATGTTGTAATCAAGACTGTACTTCCTTGCCAGCCTATAGAGAAGAAAAATGGCACTTGAAAATGCACCTTGGGCCCAAAGGAAATATCTGGGGAAGAGAATCATTTATTTCTACTTCATTTCAGAACTTCTGACCCACAAGAAGGCATTCACATTAGAACCAATCATTTCATTTGGAAGCCATTATGTCTCAACTTTTCCCTTTCTTCTGAGATACTAAAATTCCATAATTTATGCCAGTGGTGCCCAACCATTTGGCCATGCAGGCCAAATTAGTGGTGCTGGGTGGGTCTGTGAGCTGGATCCAGTCTGTTGGCCCAAACCAGTGCAAATTGGGCTGGAGCCCAATCCAGTGGGAGTTGCATTGGGCTCCAGTCCCATACACTATATTTCAGCTACAGCCTTGGCCTGCCATCCCAACCCCAGTCCTCAATACACTGGATTGGGTCCCACTGCCTCAGCCCCAGCCCCAGCCCCAGCCCCAGCCCCATGCATATTGGATTGGGCTCTCTGCTCCAGCCCTTGCCCCAGCTCTGACTGCATATGCTAAATTGGACCCCACTGGCTCAACTCCAGCAACACATTCCCCAGATCAGGCCCCACCACACTAGGTTCAACCTTGTGGATGCCAGACTAGGCCCACTGCCTGGGCCCTGGCTCCCTGCCAGGATCCTGTGTGCAGGGTCATGTCATCTGGCCCACAGGGCTTGAAAATTTGGTGGTGAGGGAGCAGTGGCAGCATAAATTGCCGCTGCTCCCTTCCCTAACAAAATTTCCAGATCCTTGAAGAGCCCTATGGGCCAGATCACATGGCTCCATAGGCCAGATCATGCCTGCAGGTTGAGGGTTGAGCAGCCCTGCTCTAAGCTGTACGTGTATGTTAAACCAAGTATAACCAACAGTTTCCAGTATAAAGCATCACAATACAACAGGTAGTGCTGGAATACCATAATGAAAGCAGAGGACCTGATTCTCTGCTATCTTGAAGCTTCCTGTATTCATTTTTCTTGGTGCAGAATGATTGCAAATTGGGAGTAAAATAGGGACAGCATATTATACTCACATTGCATTCACTTTCTAGAAGTTTAAGGACTAAACAGAGCACAAAATAAAAGCCTTGCAGGGCTTGTTGCATTCAGTCTCCCAACAGAGTGTAAATTCTCTGATCTGTATGAGTGTTCTTCATGTTTCAGCAAAACAAAGCAGCTTTGGTCTTTGGTAAATCAGTAGATAGATTATCTTTGCCATCACTGGGCTTTGGATCAAACCCTTTTTAAGATTAAGGCAAGTGACATGAATTGTGGTTATCTACATAAGGGACAGTAATTCAGAGATTTTTTTTTTCCCCAGAGGTATCTTCAGAGTTCAAGTTAATGGAGGTCAGTGCAAGAGTGCAGTCTTTGCTTCCTTACATGGTAAAATAAGAGTGATGTTCTGACCATGGTCACCCGGACATTATGCAAGGCAAGGATTTCTTAGGGTGATACCTTAATATCTGACTTGTTCTGATCAGACCTGAGGAAGAATGTCTTCCATTCAAAAGCTTGTCTACCTCTATCCCAACTATGCAGTTGATCCAATAAAAATATTGCCCTAAGAAATCCTTGCTTCTTGCACTTCCTTACATGGGTATTTGACACCACCTTATCTATTTCTATGCTTATTTGACAATTGCACAGTAAGCTGCACAGAACATTGCCCTGTTAGCAACTAGTTTAGCATCTTTAATTTTAAATCCTTGTGCTTTCTGCACAGTTGCTGCTTGTTCTGTCTATCATTTCTCACTTATCTATAGCTTTTTCTCCACAGGTTGATCTTGCACAGTATAGCAACACATAGGTGTATTTGAGGACCACCCAGCTTATTCCCAAGGCAGTTCACATTAGCACTGTGTTCTCTACTTCCCAAGATGGTGTTCCACCAAATTCTTCAGAAGCCTTCCCTCTTCCCTGCATGTCAACTGAAAATATGCTGTTAGCTTAGAATCATATTGGCTAGGCAGACTACAGTCCTGCAGGACAGCTAGAGTCATGTAATGAAGTCTACTAGTGCCTGGGGACCTCAGGAGACTGAAGCAGAAGAACTTCAGGAGAATCCAGAGAGGTTTTAGAGAGGGGTTAGTGTTTGGGATGTGCGTGTTGTATTTTCTTCTATCCAGAGGTTTGTATAGTGAAATACCTACAAGCAAATTATCAGATTTTTCACTGTTCCCAGATTTAGGAATGCTATTCATTTTCAACATCTTTAAGATGTTTGGATATTCTTTTGTAACTCTTCTATGAGATATTGTTCATCTAGTGTAGAATACAGTTAGCATTTCAGGACTAAATTTTGCTCTAATACATACCAGGGCAATGCCAAAAATTAGACCTTTCATTATATTCACTATATATCTTTCATTTTCCAGTATATGTTCTTGTTGGTCAGAAGGGAATTTTACTTTGATTAGCAGATTTTAAGGACGCATATCATACTTGGCTTGTTTTGTCCTTCCAGTGCCCACGTTTATTATCTGAACAAGTGTCAGCCAAAAGCTCCAGCCAGGCCCAAGTCCTATCATGTTAAGGGCTATTCCAGCCCTAAAGAAGCCATAGTCCCTGCCCAAAAGAGTTTACCAGCTAAGGCTCAGATTTTGCAGTCCGATCTACATGGATGAATGATAGTCACAAGCTCATAAGGTGTACACTACTTAATGACCCTAAGTCATTGTAACAAATGACAGTAACTAAATCAGCAATTCTCTACTACCATCTGTCTAGCCATTTTTAACTAGTGATTTATAAGGCTGAAATACCAGGACACATACTTTTTTAAACTTAACAAAAGAATTTTCATTCTACTAGCCAGCAAAATATTGTTGTATGCAGTTTTATTTCCAAGTGTGTGTTTGCTGATATATATAAGTACATTTATTTTTACAGGGAAAAGTTTTCAACAGATGTCCCTAGAACTACCCAAAGTAAAAGACCTTACTCCTGTACGGAACAATCTAGCTCCCATACCTGACCACTGTGTTCGGAAAAGTAAGTACAGTCATCTAAAATACTCTACTGTACCTGCTGAATCTGTAGAACACTGGCATCAGGGTTCTTTTCTCATTTCACTCTCATATGTGTATTTCTTATATGTGGCCTACCCACAGTCATTCACTGAAGCAAATAGGAGAGTTTACTTGCTAGATTAAAAGGATCTGGACATGTCCATCCTCCATCAGGAGAACATGTGCCTTTTATGACTTGAAGTAGCCATTCCTAGATACTCTAAAGCTTGCAGCTATGCTGTAGTTAGAGCCTGTAGTGCCTTGAAGTTTGACGAAGTCACATCTTAAGGCTAAAAACCTTCTCTGACTGTCCCCCACCTGCACAGCCGTGACTTGCCGCTAGACGGCTGGCAAGTAGGGTCCTGACAGCTGTGAGTTGCCACTACATGGCTGGTGAGCCAGGACAGGCTTCTATCCCTCCTTTTTGGGTGGGGAGGGCTAACAGATGGGTTGCAGGGGGTACATGAAGCTGAGAGGCAGAGAGTTAATGGGATGGTGTGGATAATGAAATGGGAGGTGGAAAGGAAATGGGGGTGGGGGAAGAGTGGTGAAATGAAGGGAATCAGCCACTGAAAAATAAAATAAAAATAAGTCAAAAAATCAGAATTCAAAAAGAAATAAAGAGGAGGTAAATTAAGGAAGGTCTTATGTTTTAATAAATTGGGATTTGAGATTGGGATGTGTGGAGTACTGGTCATGCTTCCTGAGGCAGTTGGGAGGTGGGAGCAGTGAGGGAAGGCACTTTTGGGGGGGCTACTGCCCATGCCCTTGGAAGAAAGCCCCAGTTCATGGGGAACTGATCCAGCCCCCTGACTTGTTCCTCCTCACCCCCTTATACCCCACTCCTGGACCCATCCATACCCTGTGACCTGGCTAGCTGGCATGTGCTCTGAAGGCTGTTTGGGTTGCACCCCTGGGGAGAAGGTCCCACTCCTGGGGGTAGGAAGGGAAGCTGCCTTGGTGCCAGACCTGCCTCCTGGGCAGTAAAGTTCAGGTGGTGGAAAGTTAGTTCACACAGAACAGGAGGGTGGGGGAGGGAACACTGAATCCTGAGATGCTGGAGGACTGCCACTTGTGCAGTTCATCTGTGGGCAGTGGCCACACGTTAATGAAACACAAACTGGGTAACATGGATCAGAGATAAACTTGCCCTAGAGTTGCATAACTTTAAGCTGCTTAAAGTGTGCTTAAAACTATTTGTCATGTGTTAATGTGTGGACAATGCAGGGGTTAAGAGCTCCAGGATCTGCCTAAAATTAATGTGTAACAAGGTCCTAAGATAAGTATGTTGTCACTGGAGACTGATGACTTACTTGCCCAAAACACTGAGGAATCAATATATGAGGTAGAAGATAAAATTAAGGTCCTAAAGACAATAAAGACTATATGCAATATAGTCTATATGCAGTAAACACTATATTTGTATATCATTGTCATAGAAGGCATGAAAAGTTGATCTGGAACCTTAAGTACCCACCAAAGGCTATAAAACTTCAACAACCTATTTGGAGTTGAAAAGGTAGGAGCTAAGAAAGGGAAGTTATCTTTGCTCTCTTGCTGTGACTGCATTCAGTTCTTACAGTGGTGATGTCTATTAGTGTTTTCTGCTCAAGTAAAGGGAATCAGGAAGACAGTGGTAGTTTTTCTCACTATAGACTGCCAGCCAGCTCCTCTTCCTTCCTAAAAGAGCTGCTGCAAGAACACCAAGAGCCTGTCCCTGCCATATTCATCAGCACTAGCAAAGAGCATCTGGAAGCTGTCAAGAGGAAGAAGTGTCCCAGTGAGAAGTGAGTTTCATCAGGAAGTTTCAGTGTTAACTAGTGACAAGGACAGGGCCAGATGCTATGTGGTGCTCTCATGCTGAAGGATGAGATGTGTGATTTTACTAACGCTTTTCACTCTGAGCAGTTTCCTGTGCTCATATTTCTGTGCTCATATAATTCTAAACTGAACCACTAAATATATTCTGTGGTTTTGCCACCTACTAAGGCACAGTTCAGTGAGGTCCTATAGCATTCACACGTTGGAGTTAAACAGAAGGTTTCTTGCCTTTGGTGGTCTGCATTTCTGAAGGTGAAGTTGATGACATTGCTAAAAACTGAACAGTCAGTTTCAGACATTAATGGTCTTGCTAGCTTGTGTAAGGGAAACACAGAACCCTGAATGTTGCTGTTATCTTAAAAGAGGAACTAATATTGACCTCTTTTATTTCAAAGTAAAGACTTGAGGAATGCTGAAGTGCTAAAGGCTGCATTCTCCAGAAAGAACTCTGTTTGTTTTCAAAATCTGAGCTCCAAGTTTTCCCTTTAAATTAAACCATGCTACTAAATGTTTGCTGTTCCCAGTTAAAGCCCTATTGTAGGGGCAGCTATCAGAGCAGGATTTCATAAACATGGATATTTTTGTGTAGACTTAATAATTCATACAAGCACTCAGGGTTTTAATTCTAGCCACTGCCTGCAACTCACAAAGGCCTTTTCTCCTTCAAGCAGCAAAATATTCACTCAATTGGCCTCTAGAAATAGCAGCCTAAGAGATTAATGCAATATTCTCCCCATCATTGCTTGGGCACCTTCCTCTGCAAAAAACAAAAATAACAGGGATTACAAAACCATTTACATTGTTCATTTGCAACCAAACTCCTTAAAATAGTATGACTAGACTCAGATTGTACCCATGTTAATTCTCACTGTTGTTAACCCAAGTAAGTGACAGAATAATAACCTTAATATCTGAATAGAAAAGGTGATATTAGAGGTACTTTTTTAGAAATTATTTGAAATTGAGCATTAGACACAGAGTTCAAAGAATGAAAGAAAGCTATAAAAAACAGTGTCATGAACCCCACCATTGGCTGTGGGGGGAGGATGGTTTGTGTGGCATCATGTAGGTTTTTTAATATTTATTCCACTGATGTGGCATGTGTTGTCTCATTGTACTGTATGAGCGTATGTATTTATCTATCTATAGATCTAAAACAGGGATGGGCAAAATATGGCCCATGGGCTGGAACTGGCCCACAAGGCCATTCTATCTGGCTCATGGGGCCCCTAAAATAATTAGAAAATTAATATTTCTCTGTTGTTGGTTCCTGTCAAAAATAACAGGAACCAGGTGCAGTAGGACCCAGGGGAAGCCAGCAGGGGCTTCTGGCCTGGGATCACCTAGCTGTCTCATGCTGGAACCTCAGGTAAGGGTTGGGGGAAGGTGGGGAGAGGGCAGGGAAGGAGCCCAGGCAAAAGTGGCCCAGGGAAAAGTAGCCCTTCCCCCACCCCATGGCTGGTGCTCCCTGCTACAGCTGCTTGCAGCCCAAAAGGGGCTGTCCTGAACAGGCACAGACAACCCCATGCGGACTGCAAGCATCTGCATCACAGGGTGCCAGCCACAGGGCAGGCGAGGGACCACTTTTCCCACACTCAGCACCAGTTTGTAACCCAGCTCCACTGCCGGCCTGGGCCCCATACTGGCTCCGGGCTCGCCCATCAGGGCTGTGCATGGTGACAGCAGCTGCGCCCCCTCCCACTTGCTGCACCAGGCAGTGTTTGGGTAGGGGTTACATGGCAGGATGCCCTGCCTGTGCCCCTTACCACCCAGCCTTGCTGCCCCTGCCCCCCAGCCCTACTGCCCTGTGCCCCTCACTCAAAGCCCTTGCCCCCCACCCCTGCTGCCCCTTGCTCCCACCCAAAGCCCCTGCCCCATAGCCCAGGCTCTGTAGCTGTCAGCAGCTACCCAGAACCTGGGCCAGCTGCAAACATTTGCTGCCTCTCTGCCCCAGCCCCCACCTGTGCCTGCTCAGGACAGCCCCGTGCAGGCTGTGAGCGGCTGCAGCAGGGAATTCTGGCTACGGGGCAGGGGAGGGTCCGCTTTTCTCCTTGCTCAGCACTAGCTCATTCCCTGCCATAGAGCACGGTGTCAGGGCTGCACGCTGCCCCCGCCTGTACCACGGGGCTGGGGGGCACTGGGAGTGAACAAGTGCATGGGGCCCACACCAGTGTCCCAGGGCTGGTGCCGGCAGGGCCCAGAGCAGGGTGGCAGGAGTACAGGGTCCCAGCCAGCAGGGACTCTATGGAGCCAGGCCAGCTCCCCCCTCTCCCTGCTGGTGCAGCCCAACCTGGCTCTACAGACTCCTGCCAGCCTGCACCCCACTCTGGGCCCCACTGGCACTGGCCTTGAGACATTGGTCCCAAGATGGTGACCAGAGGGTGGGGCACCTGTCAAGGGGCAGGACTACCCATGTGGCCCTCAACAGTTTGCCAAAACTGGGTAAGCGGCTCTCCACCCAAAATAATGGCCCACCCCTGATCTAGTTCTATATATATAGATATACAGCAAAAGCTTTGTTATCCCTTACCCACAG